ACTCCCGAACTCGCATACATCCAGTTCAACATACTTTGAACTCGGCATACTTCCAGTTCGGCATACTCCCGAATTCGGCATACTTCCAGTTCAACATACTTTGAACTCGGCATACTTCCAACAGGGAACTACTTCAAGTTCAGCATACTCTGGACTCAGCACACTTCCAATTTGGCATATTCCAAATTTGGCACACTTCTAACAGGCATACTTCTAGTAGAGAATCAGAGGACTTCTCATATACAGAGATTGTACCCCTTCCCGTTTGATATATACTTGATACTACTTGTAACCGATACTTTGAATTTTGAATATATACAATTCGAGTTTTTCGCGTTTACATATTTTGGCACGCCCAGTGGGACAGCTCTGCCTCTCATCTCTCTACTACTTCCATACCTCTACCTGCGCATCAAATGGCATCGAACAATCCCATGTTCAGGAGGACTTATGCCCAAGCTACCAAGTCCAAGTCTACGCCTGTAGCTTGCTCTGGCACTACCCAGAAAATGCAAGGTCCGCTGACAAGGAATCGCGCAAAGGATTTGGGGGTCCAAGTGCCTGAACCTCAGTCCATGGCACGACGTGTGGTTCGAAGGCTTGACAAGGCCCCTACTGCCTCAAAGGCAATTGCTTTTGCTGGAAGTCCACCCTCTCCCAAGGGAGCTACCGATGGTAGTAGTCCAACTTCTATGCAAGGGAATGCTAGTAGCGGGAGCACTTCCCCCGTAACTCCACCACATCCATTATGGAGGGCTGCACCTGAGTGGTCTCATGTCTACAACGTCATGCCGGCCATGGCGACAAACACAGAGTCTGTGGAGGAGCAATTAGCTAGAATTGCTAAGTCTCTGGAAGGAATGGCTATCACTTTCCAAAATCAAGAGAAACGGCTTAACACCCTGTATAATAGGGTAGGAAGCATCATGGAGGAGCAAGGAAGCCGTGCTCCAGGAAAGCAACCTGAAGGGCAAGAAGAGGTTGGTCAGCAATCACCACCACCTCATGTTAGCCATGTGGCAGGAGAAGCTGCTTCCCACTTACCTGCAACTAAGAAAACTATCCCAGTTACCGAAGGCATGATACCAGTGGTTCAGTTGAAGGACTACATAATGGGGGCCATCAAAGGCAAGTTGGATGAAGGCCAACCTTCATATTCCTATGCTAAGCCCTGCACACAAAGAATTGAGGAGTTGAAAATGCCCTACGGCTATCAACCTCCTAAGTTCCAGCAATTCGATGGCAAGGGAAATCCCCGACAGCACATTGCCCACTTTGTGGAAACATGCAATGATGCAGGGACTTATGGCGATCTGTTGGTAAAGTAGTTTGTCCGTTCATTAAAGGGAACTGCGTTTGATTGGTACACTGACCTCGCGCCCGGCTGCATTGATAGCTGGCACGATATGGAACGTGAGTTCTTAACCCGTTTCTATAGTACAAGGAGAACGGTCAGCTTCTTGGAAATCACCACTACTCACCAATGGAAGGGTGAACGCGCCGGTGCCTACATCGAAAGGTGGAGGGAACTATGCCTGAATTGCAAAGAAAGAATATCTCAAAGTTCTGCAATTGAGATGTGCATCCAAGGCATGCACTTTGAACTCTCCTATATCCTACAAGGGATTAAGCCAAAGTCCTTTGAGGAGTTATCCAGTCGTGCTCACGAAATGGAATTGAGCATCGAAGCCAGCGGAGGGCTCAACATATTGAACTTGCCTAGCTCCTCCAATGCACCTGGAAAACAAGAAGTTAAAAAGTGGAACAAACCTTTTCCAAAGCAGGAAAAGAAAGAAGTGATGAATGTAAAGGCTACTCCTATGACAGTCTTCACTAAGGCAATTGAAATGCCTAGGTCAAGATCATTTTCTGGCCCGTCAAGGGGTGGTAGAAGGCCGACAATTGAAGAAAGGCAGGAGAAGACTTATCCTTTCATGGATTCCGATGTATCTCCCATGTTTGATGAGCTACTCAAACTTAGGCTCATTGAGTTGCCTGAAATGAAACGTCCTGATGAAGCTACAAGGGTGGATGACCCATATTACTGCAAGTACCAACGTCTTCTCGGTCACCCAATTGAGAAGTGCTTTATCTTCAAAGACAAAGTTATGGCACTGGCCAGGGATGAAAAAATTGAGCTCGCGGATGCTAACGCGAGCTCGAATCAAATATCAATTACACTCGGACAATTCGCTCCGCTGTGCACTGAAAAGGAAGATGGAAAACAACGGAAGCGTCCACTCCCCTTCATTGTTAAGCACGCTGTCGGTCAAAGTTCAGAACCACGGCGGAATGATAACACATCCGAAGGAAAATCGGTGATTGTCACTCATAGAAAGAAGAAAGTCGAGCCTGTGAAGCATCAAAAGCACATAGTTAAAAGTTGGGTTGAGAAAACCTCAAAAAATACCCATGCCCGCAAATCAAAGACGAAGGGGCGTGGCAAACAGCCACGTGCACCAGTTCCTTTGGCTCAATATATGCCAAAGGGATTTGATCTTCAAGGGGCAGGCACTGCTAGCTCCTGCCTAAATACAAATGACAAGCCAGAAGACGGAGGGGAATGTTCATCTCCTAAACACATCGAGGATGAGGAAGTGCTAATGCATAAGGCTACTTCTTACTCCACAGAAATTACCTTCAAGGATGAAGACTTGTTACTTGGAGGCACGCCACACAATCGCCCACTATTTGTTGAAGGCTATATCCGTGGGCAAAGGCTCAAAAGAATTATAGTTGATCAAGGCTCAACTGTCAACATCCTATCCCTCCAAGCTGTGAAGGACCTTGGTATATCTACAGATGAGCTTGCCCAAAGTCGTCTAATGATACAAGGCTTCAACCAGGGAGGGCAAAGAGCAATCGACATTATCCGACTTGACTTAAGAATTGGAAGTCTGAGTTCAGGTGTCCTCTGCCATGTCATAGATGCAAGGACATCTTATAACTTATTACTTAGAAGGCCGTGGATACATGAAAATGGGGTGGTAGATGTTTGAAAAGAACGGCGTAGTTGAAAAGGTTGTCGCCGATGAAAGCCCTTTCACAGAGGCTGAGTCTTACTTTGCAGACGCAAAATTCTACATTAAAAGGCAAGTTATTGTTGAAGATATTGAGGAAAGCAATGACGATCCACCTTCCCAATCAAAGTCAAAGGGAAAGCAAGTTGTAGAGGGAGATCAACACAACACAAAACTCATCTTCCCGCTTGCAAGGATTAATACACTCAAAACAAATGCAGCAAAATCATCCGAAGAGAAATGTGGTGATAAAGTGGGCCAAATATTCCCCGCCAAACGTACTGAGGGTTTCGACCCTAACGCTTATAAGCTTCTAGCCAAAGCTGGCTATAACCCCAATGAGCCATAGAAGTTGGGAAACCTTATCCCAGAAGCCGGTAGTAAAGGTAAGGCAAATCACCAAGAACCTCAAATGCGCAAAGGGTTGGGCTATGTCCCCCCTAAACCAGTGTGAATTCTTATAAACAGGGCTGCAAGTAATTGTATCTCCGCGGAGGGAAGCGAGTATGACCCAAACCTCACTCCTACCAATGATAATGGGCAAGACAAAAAGAAGTCAGTCTTCGACCGAATCGGTAAGGCGGACTCTCGACGCTCAGTCTTTGATAGACTGGGTCAAGTCCTAAAGCCCTAAAGAGAAAGTCGACGCATGATCGACTTGGAGCTGTCCAAGTTGTTAATGACAGTGCCATTGTTTCTGCTGAAGTGGAACCTCCCAAAAGGCTTAGAAGCATGATTCCTTCTCGGATGAGACGAGAAACTTATATTCATGTTTCATGCGGTGAAGTATTGAAAGTCCAACCGAAGACCATTGTACACACTTGTGTACATAAAGAAGAGAATGAGGAAAGCGTAGGCTCAAGTGATGACGTACCACCAACTACTCAGGGAGAGGTGGCATCGTCGTTCCATATCACTTTGTGTGATGAAACCCCGATTGAGGGGGAAGATGCAGAAGATGCACCCCATGAGTTAGAAGAAGGGGTACGGGCCGCAGTGGATGAATTAAAAGAAGTTGATCTGGGAACTCCTGAAAATCCTCGTCCTATCTTCATTAGCGCACTCCTATCTGATGAAGATGAAGAAATCTATGTCACATTGCTGAAAGAATATATTGATGTCTTTGCATGGACATACAAGGAGATGCCAGGGTTGGACCCAAAGGTAGCTGTGCACTGCTTAGCAGTGAAGAAGGGGTGTCGCCCGGTTAAGCAAGCTCAACGACGCTTCCGCCCCAAGCTCATTCCCTCGATTGAAATGGAAGTTAATAAGCTTATTGAAGCTGGCTTCATTCGTGAAGTTAAATATCTAACCTGGATATCCAGTATTGTGCCTATGCGCAAGAAGAACGACCAGATCCGCGTCTGCGTAGATTTTCGGGACCTCAATGTGGCATGCCCGAAAGATGACTTCCCGCTTCCTATCACGGAGTTAATGATAGATGCCGTGACTGGGCATGAGATCCTGTCATTCATAGATGGATCCTCCGGTTACAATTAAATCCGCATGACACCGGAAGATAAAGACTTAACTGCATTCCGAACGCCGAAAGGCATCTACTGTTACAAAGTACTGCCCTTTGGTTTGAAAAATGCAGGTGTTACATACCAACGGGCTATGCAGACAATATTTGATGATATGCTGCACAAAATGGTCGAATGCTATGTAGACGACCTAGTTGTGAAGTCAAAATGGCGCACAAATCACTTGGTGCATTTAAGGCAAGTCTTCGACCGCCTACGGAAGTTTCAACTCAAAATGAATCCCCTGAAATGTGCTTTTGGGGTTGCTGCTGGAAAGTTTCTCGGGTTTACTGTTCGACACAGGGGCATCGAGATCGAGCAAACAAAAATCGATGCCATAATGAAGATGCCTGAGCCGAGAAACCTTCATGAGCTTAAAAGCTTACAAGGGAAGTTGGCTTACATCCGAAGGTTCATATCAAACCTAGCGGGAAGATGTCAACCTTTTAGTCGATTAATGGAAATTGGCATCCCATTCATATGGGACGATGCATGCAAGAACGCATTTGAGAGTATCAAGTCATACTTGATGAAGCCGCCTGTGCTAACCGCTCCTGTTCACGGTCGCCCACTAATCCTCTATATCTCCGCCCAAGACAATTCTGTGGGCGCCTTGCTTGCTCAGGAAAACGACAAGGGGAAGGAGAATGCTCTCTACTGTCTTAGTAGAATGATGACCCCGAACGAGTTAAAGTACTCCCCAATTGAAAAGATATGTTTGGCACTTGTGTTCGCCATCAAAAAACTTAAGCACTACTTCGAGGCTCATACCATCCGGCTTGTTTCCAAAGCGAACCCGGTGAAATATGTTATGGCGAAGGTCGTTCTCTCCGACCGCCTCGCAAGGTGGTACTTATTGTTTCAACAATTTGAAATTATATATGTGCCGCAAAAGTCTGTCAAGGGGCAAGCCTTGGCCGATTTCCTAGCAGACCACCCAATACCTGCTGAATGGGAGTTGTCTGACGATTTGCCTGATGAAGATGTGCTTGTCATTGAAGTCCTACCCCCATGGAAGATGTACTTTGATGGAGCTTCGCATAGAGAGGGGGCAGGTGCTGGAGTCGTCTTTGTCACTCCAGAAGGCGAGGTGTTGCCATATTCATTCACCTTGGCCGAACAATGTTCAAACAACGTTGCTGAGTACCAAGCACTGATACTTGGGCTCGAAATAGCGGCTGACATGAAGCAACTAAGAATTAACATTTATGGAGATTCAAAGTTGGTCATAAACCAAGTGTTGGGTCTATATGAAGTTAAAAAGGCGGAGTTAGTCCCATATAATAACTATGCAAAGATACTCATGCAATGGTTAGGGGACGTCACAATTGAACATGTACCGAGGAAAGAAAACAAGCAAGCTGACGCCTTAGCCGCATTGGCTTCTACTATTGCTCATCCTGCAACCCGAATAGAAGTATGTCAAAGGTGGGTGGTTCCACCAATCTTTAATGAAGACGGCTCAGTTGATGAAACCGTTGAACTCCCTACTGCCTCAGTGTATGATATAGGCAAGGACGACTGGAGGCAACCACTGGTTGACTACCTCACTGATGGAAAGTTACCTGAGGATCCACGTAAGAGGGTGGATATAAAGCGTCGAGCTCCTTGCTTCATCTACTATAAAAGACGTTGTATCGTCGTTCATTCGAGGGAGTTTTTCTCTGATGCCTAGGGGAAGAGGAAGCTTTACAAGCTATGCAAGAAGCTCATTCTGGGGTTTGCGGTGCACATCAATCCAGTCTCAAGTTACACTTCCACATCAAGCGAATGGGCTATTATTGGCCTACAATGGTAAAGGATTGCATAGATTATGCTCGAATATGTCAAGCTTGTCAATATCATGCAAGGGGTTACAAGCTATGCAAGCTATGCAAGGGAGTTTTTCTCCGATGCCTAGGGGAAGAGGAAGCTTTACAAGCTATGCAAGAAGCTCATTCTGGGGTTTGCGGTGCACATCAATCCGGTCTCAAGTTACACTTCCACATCAAGCGAATGGGCTATTATTGGCCTACAATGGTAAAGGATTGCATAGATTATGCTCGAATATGTCAAGCTTGTCAATATCATGTAAACTTTATCCATCAGCCACCAGAACCTCTACACCCAACAGTTGCATCTTGGCATTCGATGCTTGGGGACTTGATGTGGTTGGCCCAATTACGCCTAAGTCATCTGCAGGGCACGCATACATATTAGCTGCCACCGACTACTTTTCAAAGTGGGCGGAAGCTGTGGCATTGAAGGAGGTGAAGAAAGAAAATGTTGCAAACTTTCTCCGTGTCCACATCGTCTATCGATTTGGTATCCCGCGATATATCTTAACAGATAATGGGAAGCCCTTTGACAACAAGTTGATGGACAAGATTTGCAAGCTTTTTGACTTTGAGCAGCGAAACTCATCAGCTTACTATGCAGCTGCGAATGAGCTTGCTGAAGCTTTTAACAAGACCCTATGCAATTTATTGAAGAAAGTGGTCTCAAAATCAAAAAGAGACTGGCATGACAGAATGGAAGAAGCTTTGTGGGCGTATAGAACCACATACCGCACACCTACTCAAAGCACTCCATACTCTTTGGTGTATGGTGTAAAAGCGGTCTTGCCTCTAGAGCGCCAAATACCTTCCTTAAGGTTGGCTATACAAGAGGGGCTTACTGATGAAGAAAATGCTAAGTTACGCTTGGCTGAGTTAGAAGCCTTGGATGAAAAGCGTCTGCAAGCGCAACAAAGCTTGGAGTGCTATCAAGCTCGCATGTCTAGAGCTTTTAATAAAAGGGTAAGGACCCGTTCCTTTCAAATTGGGGACAAAGTCCTAGCTGTTCGCAGGCCCATCATCGTCACAAGAAAAACTGGCCACAAGTTCACTTCAAGATGGGATGGTCCCTACGTGATTCTAGAAGTTTACACCGGTGGAACTTACAAGCTGATTAGTGAAGATGGTTTGAAGATCGGTCCAATCAATGGAAGGTTCCTAAAGCTTTACCACCCTTAAACTTGGGGTGTCAACACAAGTCGTTGAAATATGATGAACGACTCATCCACCAAAAATGCAGCACGTGGTTAAACTGCTAATGCATCTCGCTTTGTCTATGGGTGGGCCCAAATCATAGACGCTCCTGGCCCGCATGAGTCTAAACTGTGAACGGCTCTACTCAAAAAAAAAAAAATCATTTGAACTACGTTTGACTTGATCTCCTTCATAGGAGTACGTAGGCAGCTTAGAAATCAAATTATCTAAGTTCAGTCATAACAAAAACAAATTCAATTCAGGTTGCAAGAGTGGTGTAGAAGGACAATCATTCGACAAGTCAAAGCAAAGTTGTTCGAATTATCGCTAAAAGACCGGCACCCAAATGAGAAGCGTTCAATTATCAAGAGTTCGGGAATCTTGATTGAAACTCGGTAGCCTCGGGGATAAAAGTGTTGTAGGCACATGCATTTTGACGAGCAAGCTGGTAGGGGCAAGCCCTATACGAAATTTTAAAGCAAGGTTTCAAGACTCTCTAACATGAGTCAAATTGCTTCATATGTTTCAAGACTCCTTGACATGAGTCGAAACTGTCGCATATCGTTCAAGACTCCCTGGCACGAGTCGAAACTGACTCATGGTGGCCTCCAAGAGGGCATGATGCATACTGAGTGCGACCTCAGTCTCTCCGTGGTACCCCTTGATGGAATTGAATTCAGTCTTAAGGCGAGGCTGCTAGTTACACAAAGCTTTACCATCTCCAAGCATTCAAAGTTGAGAGGGTATCTGAATAAACCATATGGTGTAGGCCGGATTGCCCGCAGAGTTCATGCCTTTGAGGGCTTGATCTCAAAAAGGAAAACAAAAGGATTTTCTATTATTTGAGATGAATCTCTTATTTTGATTTATCAGAAGTCTGGTTCTCTACTCAAAATCAAGTCAAGCCAGAGATTTTGCAAGGAAAAGTTTTAAGTCTAAGGTTCAGAAGAAATTGCCACGAAAATGTTCAAGCAAATTCTCATATCACATATATGTATATGATACCCAAAAGAACCAATATAATATATATTTTATGTGTACACGTATCACAGACACACACACACACACACACACACACATACACACACACACACACACACACACACACACACACACACACACATATATATATATATATATATATATATATATATATATATATATATATATATATATATACCCCATATCAATTATCACATGGACCAGAATGACGTGTCATATATATGTTTATATATACACCCACGTGGCAAGGGGAAGTAAGAAAACAAAACAGAGTTTTCTATATACTGACACACATAGCAGACATGGGAAAGTGAGACGGCACCTGGCTCTGTGTAGTCTCTCCTTAATTTCATTTCAATTCTGATTAGAGCAGAAACAACGTAGCATTTCTTTCCGATGTTTTGGTGTTTCCACTAACGGACTTCCATAGCGGCCTTCTTCTCCATTGATGAACCGGCGGCAGCTCGCCGGAGCACGGCGACTATCCAATAGCTTTCCTCTCCAAATGGTGTTATTGTCGACAGCCATGCCTCCAAATGGCGTCATTGTCGACAGCCATTAGCATCCCCGTCGATGACAGCAACGTGCCGGAGCACGCGCTCAGTGACATCCAAAAATTGTAACAGCAACGTGCCGGAGCACGCGCTCAGCGATATCCAAACATTGTGACGGCAACGTACCGGAGTACATGCCCGATGAGTTCAGCAGATGTCCAATGCGATGGCTTGATCCCATTTCTTCTTCATCACCAAGTACGGTGAGAATGGAGAGGCACTGGAGCAGCAATAGCAAGATTCCAAGCAGTTCCAATCCATTGCTTATGGAAATGGCAAGAATCCAAATAGTTCCCGATCCCGTGTTTATGAAAATGGCGAGAATCCAGAGTCCAAGCAATGGTGGAAGACATTCTAAGAAAAAATTCCCAAGAGCTCAAACAGTGGTGGTGGTCATTCCGAAAAAATTAATTTCCAGGAGTTCCAGACCACTGTTGGTAAAGAAGGCGAGCCAAGCAAAGATAGAAACAAGCCTGAAAAAATCAATTTTTAGGTGTCTCTTGTCCAATGCTTCCCTTTCTTGATTCCTTTGTTTTCATCCCTTCTGATGAAAGTTGCAAAAAAGAAAAAGAGACAAATACATACATATAAATGGCGCAGGAATTAAAGTTACCTGTGTCTCGGCCGGTTGAAGGTCTGGCTGAAGGATGAAGATGGAGAAAAATGAAGTCGTATTTATAGTATTGTTGGGCGATATGGTTCACTAATTACATGCGGTTTGCAGCTATCTTTGGCATTATGTGCGTCATTTGAGTTGGAGTGTTATCTTATCGCGGCTAGGCTCAGTGCCCATCGCTCGGCGACCTCTGGGAGCGTCAGCTGCTGGTGGCCTGTTGGTGGTTTTTGTAACACCCGACTTTTCTAACTCTTAATTACATCTCTAAACAGTCATTATCATAAACTAAGCAGCGGAAAACTAGAAGATAAATAGTGGGAGTGTCACCGCCACTGTTAGCATTGAAAATTTAAATGGACCAGTGTGTGTGATGTTGGGCATTGATTGATAATTAATTACTTTAATTAGGTTAATTGGACTAATATTTATTTAATTGGGTTAATTAAATGGCCCATTGAATAATTAATTAGTTTAATTACTTAATTAAATGTAATTGAATGTTGGATTGTTCGGCCAAGTTGGTGAAATATTTAATTGAGTTGGACCGGGCTGCTTGGAGTAATTGGGTTGCTTAATTAGCGGGCTTGACTTGGTCTTGGCCCATCAAAATTATATGTGGATTATATAATTTTGAAGAAATTGGTATATTTGATATTATTTGGAAATTTAATGAAATCATGAACCTGGACACAATGGTGTCCCGATACATTCCTTAATTTAATTAAAGAAATTAAATTAAATAAGGAATTAAGAGTTGGTTGGAGATTTTCCCTCACCCTCACCACTATAAATACTGGTTTCATTTTCAAAGAATGGAGCTGGAAATCTGCATATCGAAGCTCTGCCGAAATCTCGCTGGGATATCGTCTAGAACACGCCAGCAGTTGTACTGCATATACACGCTGAGGAACACGCCACTTGAACACCGGAAGCCCTTCTTTGAAGATCAAGCTGCATATTAGCCCTTCATTGAGGAACAAGCTACTAACTCCGGAGGCCCTTCAGCAAGGAACTACTCTAGTTCGGCACACTCCCGAACTCGGCATACATCCAGTTCAACATACTTTGAACTCGGCATACTTCCAATTCGGCACACTCCCGAACTCGGCATACATCCAGTTCAACATACTTTGAACTCGGCATACTTCCAGTTCAGCATACTCCCGAACTCGGCATACTTCCAGTTCAACATACTTTGAACTCGGCATACTTCCAACAGGGAACTACTTCAAGTTCAGCATACTCTGGACTCAGCACACTTCCAATTTGGCATATTCCAAATTTGGCACACTTCTAACAGGCATACTTCTAGTAGAGAATCAGAGAACTTCTCATATACAGAGATTGTACCCCTTCCCGTTTGATATATACTTGATACTACTTGTAACCGATACTTTGAATTTTGAATATATTCTATTCCAATTTTTCGCATTTACAGCCACAACCACCACTCTTGGTGATTGCATAGGCTAAAGGGGTAAAACTACAAAATACG